CCGCTTCCACGTCCTCATGCTTGGCTGTCTTCATCTTCTTGCAACTTGCTGTAAATAGGCGCTTCTCATGTGCACTCAAAACCCTATCTTTGCTGCGTATAATGGTAGAGAGTGTAGAGGGAGGAATCCCGAAATTCTCTGCGATGTCTTTCTTCTTCAGCTGGCCTTCTTCGACAGTCCGAATCAAGTGCACCTTCTCTTCGAGCGTCAGAGTCTTCAATTTCCTCTTGAGTGAACTCATTCCACACAAATGCCGTAAAGGAAGTAGAATATGACTAGAATGGCTCGGAGTGAGAGCAATAAATAGACAGAGCGAATGTTGGAGGTTGCTTTTTTATAGCCGAAGCTTTTCGGTTTTAATCCTCAGGTTTAATCCTCTCCACAGGCGTCTGCGTGGGAGGAAGGGGAAGCAGAAAAAAAAACAAAAGAAACAAAAGAACATCCTCCCGAACGGGTTTCTTGTCATTCATCCTATTCAAAAATCGAAAAGTCCCACGAGAAGAATTTTTCCCCCCTTCGCACCCTGAATTCGAGTTAACCGTGAGAAAATCGTTATCGGGAGTGAAAATGTCATTCGAGATATCCGGAAATTCGAGATAAGCGAATTCGAGTTAAACGGAGCATTTAACATGGTGTCCTACGGGGTTCCGCCGGGACCAAGCATTCAAGTTCGAGATAAGCGGAATTTTGACTTATCAGGATTCGAGTTAACGAGTTTTCACTGTATTTTGTAAACAAGGACCCTTCCACTCAGAGTAGGTCTACTAGATAAGATTATTTTCTTGTGGAAATGCACTGAAATGCACTATCACCATTGAAAATATATTTTCAATAGTGTTTCAATTGATGGAAATCATGATTCAGGGCTTCTTAATTGATCCAGAATGGAAGGTTGTATTTTTTCCCTATAGGTCTGGCAGCAATCCACATGATCAAAGAAGAATGGGTGGAGGCTGCAGAGAAGTACCGAGAAGTTCTGCGTTCAGCTGATGAGCACAAGGACCAAATCAAAACAGACTCCTTACAGGTCTTGTCACATATACAGGGTGTCCATAAAATGGCTGTCTGTTGGTAACTTTTCTATTATTGAATCTACAGTAACAATAATTACTGCATGTGTAGGTTGACAAGAAACATGAGTATGATGTCACATGTTTCTTCCTTCCACTTGGTATGACTGATTTTATTTCTCTGACTCTTGATCACTTCAAATTTAATCAATTAAAAAAGTTGTTCAATAATGGTGACTTTATGAACAACCCTGATTTTTTTGTTTTTATCAAACAGCAAGATTGCAATTATATGGTTGTTACATATTTTCATACAGAAACTTCATGCCCTTCATAACCTGAGTGAGCTGCTTGAGGCTGGTCATGCTGACATTCCACCAACTCTCAGGGATTCAGAGCTCCGGACTCAGGCCAAAGAGATTCGGGACAAGTACCTGGAGAAATATGCCGCAGAGGTAAGGACCAATTTATTATTTTTACTTCAGCAGAGATAAACTCTGAGAAATTAGATTCTTCCTATGGCCCATTTCTTATGAGCCCTGCACACTTAACCTTTATTAGATAAATGTCCTGAATAGCAAAGGTAAGTGCTATGGGATGAACAAGCAATGTCATATATACAGTTCACAGCAATGTGAATATTGGCTAAATTGCATTAAAAAAGAATGGAATCCTGACTTCTACTTAGACTCCTGTTATTATCTCTTGATTAATTCATTCAGGAACAGCACTCAATTGAGGAAGTCATTATATAGGTCACTGAAGGATAAATTCTGCCTTTTAAGTGTTTTATGTGCTTTTAACACATGTCATTTTCTCCCCTTCCCCCAAGAATGACACCCACACAGGCACTCACTTCCTCTTTTCTCACATTCTTTTCTGTCTTCATGGCTGTGAGTAGCTCCACCCAATGTCATTGATGCATGCAGTGGGAAGTGTTTCAAACCTATGAAGTGAAATTATGAGTTTTTGAACAAAATTGAGGTTGAATGAGTGGTCAAGTTGAGTAACTTGTTGCTTTTTTTCACATGATTTCACAGATTTTTGACAATTATTTCCTGTTGTTACCTAATTGTCAATGAACAGCATCTCTTCACTTTTTTAATAGAGCTTTTGCAGGACATCTTTGCATTGATATCACTATTGATAGTTCGAGGCATCAATGATCTCAGCCATCACAATGTTTCCTGCCATCCTCACTCAGCACCCCCAATCATTCAAACCCCCCTGATCATGATGAGAGAAAAGGTTAGACACCTCCCCTGCTCAGTAATAGCAGCAAGAAGTGACAGATGCTGATTCTCCTGCTCTCTCCTCCCCCCACCTCCTCAGTGTTCAGGGGCAATACATAATTTCCCCAATTCATCAATGCATTGATGTGTTCAGCACAGCCATTGTGACAACCTTATGTCTCATTCAATTAGTTATTTTTCAATATTTACAAACAGTTGTTTGAATTCATATTGTACCTCAAGCTGTAGAAATGAATTATACCATAATATTTTTGTCATATTTGAGAAACTCAATTCCAGTCCCTCTTGTCAAAAATGGCAGGTGCAAGCAAGCCACGAGTCCCTGCACCCAATCCAGGCAGCAATTCGGGAATGTGAGGATGAGATGAAGGGCCATTGGGAATGGTGGGCTGATCTTCTGGGTATTTGTAAGGCTGCTGGTGATGAAGAACGCCTCCTAGCTTCCATCAAGGATGAACTCTTCTCTGACAAAAATTCTTCCACAGGATTCCTTCGCAAGTGAGCACTCTATTTCTATTGATTATTGTCCATGGGTTTCAAATAAATTTGTTAGAAATAGGAAGCTTTTTAAAAATATTTCCTGAAGCTTATATGAAGAATTGTTAAAATTTTATAGTAACAACTTTGAACTGGCCTTGGAAGCTTTCCATGGATATGGTTTCCTTGCTGCATTATCTGTCAGCTAGCATGGTGTAAGTTTCCAGTATGATAGCAAGAAAGCTTGTACTTGGAGGATGCTGCCAAATGTCAATGTTTGGTGGGAGGGGTACATGTACTGTCCTTTCCAAGGAAGGTTACTCATATTCTGTAATCTTCTGTAATCATGGACTAGTGCAGGGACAAAGATTATGTTGTCTCCAAGAAGAGAATCCACAACATTATTCACAATGTTGGAGTTGGAAATCAGTCATTTGCACTTTGGAAGGTCTCTGGAAAGTGTGCAAGGAAGAGTGGGAGCATGTTGATTTCACGGTTCTTCAGAAGAGCTTGCTCTCTTGGGAAGCTTTACCAGATAGAGCATAATTAGGAATAAGGAGCCTCTATGGAATGCAAATATCCTACACATTTGTTTCCATATAGTGCAAACAACCATGCAAGCTGATTGTTTTGTGCTTGCAAGCCTTTCCCATTCTATAGCCTATTAGCCCTCTTGCTTTTTCAGCTACTAATTTGTGCTAGGGACTTCATGGTACATGCTTCTTACACTTGACAGATGCTGTGATTTTCTGAGTTTCAGTGGAGCCCCTGCTACTAAGATTTTTATTTTGCATTAATATTCAATCTAATTTTGAGTAAAAAAAACTGAAAGCTACATTTTGACTACAAGGTGTTAAGAAAGTTGTGTCCCATCACAATATGCCTATAACCTCAGTAAAAAACAATAATCAGGAAAAAATTTGTATTTGTATTTGTAAAAATTTGTAGGTTCAACAGGTGGCGCTCCAGCAGTCAATTCCCGAAACTTTTGGATCACACCTCGTATTACCTCAGTAAAAAACAAAAGTCAGGAAATTTTTAAAATATACAATAACAAGAACAGTTATCTGATTTAGAATCATTTAATAGTTTTCAATATGGCCACCCTTGGCAAGGATGACAAGGTTCAGACGAACCATGAAAGCATCGACTGGTTTTCGCAAGACTTCCTGTGGAATTCGCTTCCATCTCAGTTCAGGGATAGCTTGAGAGAATCCAAAGAACAGTGTTTTGTAGCACACACTTTGCTCTCCCAGATGGACCAATTTGAAAAATCTAAGGGGTTGACATCAGAAGAGTAAGGGGACCATTGTGAAGTCGAAATGAAGTCGGAGACATTTGTCTGCAGCCACTCCTAGGTCTTCCATGCTTGTGAGCTGGCGCTGAGTCCTGCTGGAAGACCCAGCTGCCTCCATTGAAATGATTCATGGCCCACAGAATCAGACAGTCTTCCAGGATGCTTTTCCTGTATACTTCAGTGTTGACCTTCATCATCTCAGGCACAAAAATGAGCAGAGTGCATCCAGAAGCAGTAACTATCCTGGAACTGAGAATGGGAGTGAATTCCACAGGAAGTCTTGCAAGAATCAGTCAATGCTTTCATGGGTTGTCTTGTCAACCTTGTCATCCCTGCCAAGGGTGACCATATTGAAAACTATTAAGTGATTCTAAATCAGATAACTGTTCTTGTTATTGTATATTTTAAAAATTTCCTGATTTTAATTTTTTACTGAGGTAATACGAGGTGCGATCCAAAAGTTTCGGGAATTGACCGCTAGAGCACCACCTGTTGAACCTAGCATTAAAACGTCATGTAGGGGTAGTGGTGAGTCTGTTATGTTTCAAATGATATGACCTTGACCGATGTAGGACCTTTCAGTTGGCTCCCAGAGCAGTTTAAGTGATGTCGTGTGTAAGTGTATCCACGATGAGCCTTCACGAGCAAAGAGTTTGTGTGAAATTTTGCATTAAATTGGGCAAAAAACTGTCAGAAACTGTCAAATGCTGATGCAAGCTTATGGCGAGGATGGAATGAGCAAAACAAGAGTTTACGAATGGTATAAAAAATTTAAGGACGGGTTGGAAAGCACTGAAGATGCAGAACGTTCGGGTTGTCCTTCAACAGCAAGAACAGATGAATGCATTGGCCTCATCAGTGACCTCTTTCAGTCGGATAGGTGAATGACCATCCTTGATGTTGTAAACCTTACTAACCTCTCATATGGCAGCTGCCAAAGGATTCTGACAGAGGATTTGAACATGTGGCGCATTTCTGCAAAGTTTGTCCCATGTCTTTTGAGTGAGGAGCAAAAGCAGAACCAAATCTATGCCTGCCAGGAATGGATTGGACAATTCGAAATTGACAGGGACTTTTTATCAAAGGTCATCACAGGCGATGAATCTTGGGTTTATGGGTACAATCCTGAGATGAAACAACAATCTGTGAATCAAGTGTTCTATCAAGATGTTTTAAGACTGTTACGAGAGGACGTGCGAAGAAAGAGACCACAGAAATGGAGCAGCTGTGAATGGTTCCTTCACTACGATAACGCCCCCTCTCACACCGCCTTGTCCGTGTGCATGTTTCTCACAAAAAATCAGATGGTGACACTCATGCATCATCCCTACTCACCCGATTTAGCACCTTCCGACTTTTTTTGGTTTCAAAAAATGAAAACCAAATTGAAAGGGCATCATTTTAACAGCGTAGAAGAGATTCAACAGGGAACACTGGCGGTACTGAGCAATATCCCTCAATTGGAGTTTCAGTGTTGTTTTGAAACACAGAAGGACCAGTGGATTCACTGTATCAATTGCAGAGGGGACTGCTTTTGAAGGAGATCATGCATGATATTTTTTATTTTATCTTTTGTATTGTTTATCAATAAATTCCCTAAACTTTTGGATCGCACCTTGCAGGCATATTACAATGGGACACAACTTTCTTAACACCCTGTATTTCAGTGATGAGTCAGATATGGTCTATTTTTTATTGAGGATTGTATTCTCAGCATTCGTCAGTTGTCGGGACTGGGTTACACACTGGTGGGCCACCTGGATGAATTGTCAAATATTAGGCGGGAGGTCATGCAGAGGTTTGACCGCCTCCTTGTTGAGGACACCAGAGACATGGTGAATGAAGCTGTCTCCTGTCATCTGCGTAACCAGCAGGTCCGCAGCAAGAAACGCAAGACTAGGTGGGCTCCTATCAATCTCTTTGTCGTTTGCAGTTCAACTTTCAATAAATGTTTTTTCATTCATTCTCCGAAGGTACTGCATGTTTTTATGAATGAAAGTACCAGATGTCTGTATCAATATTCTTGCAAATACATCCAAGCTTTAACATCAGACCTAGCTGTCTTAAATTTTTGTACTTGATTTTCCTTTCAATTTTGCTTTATTTTCTTGTGTGATTTTTATGTATCCATTTTTAGCAATTCAGGGAAGAAAAATTGACACTGCTATGATGGTATTCCCACAGCTGTCACCTGTGTATGTACCATGATCTCCTGGAGGACTATGAGCTGCAACTGTTCAGTGTAGGTACCTACACAGGTCATGAGACCATTGAGGCTGAGGGCAGCAAGGAGGGCATCACTGTTTATGGGGACCTCCGGCGTGGCAACTGGGAAGGCTCTGAAACTGAAAAAACCCTTCGAAGTAAAGTATCTCAGTTGTCCATTCATTTCTCAGCAATTTCTGCTTTTTGAATTTAAGGTATTTTATAATTATTTTTTCAAAATCTTTTCCTGCTGTAAGATCTATATCACTAAACATTTTCGTTTCTTTCCTGTGACAGATACATGTGAGGAATTGTTTTTTGTATATTGCAGCCATTCTGAATTTCTCTCGACATCGTGGACCCTCTGTGGACCTAGTTCAGTATGGAAATATGCACTTGCGTCTTTTTGAGAACCTTCGCAAGGAGTTCAAGGTATGGAAAAGGCAGTTGATTTCATCTGTTCTACAGCATGTCCATAAAGTTACAATGTGCTGCAGACTTTTTTAAAGTATAGGTTGATGTGGAGTATACCTTTTTTTTCATACTATAGTGAGCATTTCTGCACTTTATCTCATCTGCTTAACTAGCTGTTGAATTGATGGCCTGACCTTACTTGCTCTTGGCTCACCTAATCATCGTTTCAATGGTCTTGTCGAATTGCCTATTCGTATAATTTATTTCCAACATGACTGCACTTTGTTGACAGTTGTGGGCAATTATTTGTACGTGTTGCTAGTGAATTTTCATCAAATTAAATATTATATTATTGATAACTTACACAAAGATAATTGGTAAGCAGATGGGTTAATATGCAATTATTTCATTCACATCAGATTTCCAAGTTTCAGAATAAAGTCCAAAATAAAAAAATAAAAAATGCCATGTAGGTCTAAACAGCTGAATATCATGCACTTCAAGTGAAAAAGAAGTATTCCAAGACAACCAAATTCTCGCATCAGGTTTCAAGTAAACAGCAGCCAAATCTAAGATGCCCAGTTAAAGGGTTTAATGTGTTTTCCATCAATTTGGAAACACTTTTGAGTCTACAAAATTACTATTTCATCTTTTATTTCTCTAAAATCCTGAGGGTGTTTGGGATTGACTTCTGTTTCAGGAAATGCCAAACAATGTCATATAGGATAAGGTGACTTGTTCTTATTAGAAAGCAAGAACACCATCAAAATCCTTTCTCCCAAATTCAAGGAGGAAGCAAAGGTTTAATGATGATATTGACATAGTGCACAAAAAAACACATGGAACTAAGGAGTCATCTGTCATCTTGGAAGAGTTTCTTCATCTAGTGTTACACATTTTGGTGATTTACTTTTTTGCTGAGATGAGATTTGGCTTTCATTCATTTTGATCACCACTCAACTCAGTGGTGTCACAATGCAGGCAAGCCCAGAACATCCTCTAATATTACCAACCCTGGACAACTCACCAAGATCAGGCTCAGCTGGTGGAATGTCAAGATTCTCATGACAAGCTTAGCAATACAATCCATCCTCCTTGCACAAGGCCAACCAACTGGTCTACTGCCAGTAATTTTGGATTAGAAAACTCTTCTTAAGAGTCTCTTGGGGAGGAAGTGTCCAAACTATTTGGCTTGAGGTCTCTCAATTTGAACGCTGTTTGATGCAAAGGTTCTCACAGCTGAAAGCACTCTGCATCCTCTGACAATCCATAGTACCGGCCATCCAATGCTAGAAACTTGTTTCAACAGTTAGTATCACTGACTTGATTCTTTCAGTCATTACCCACAGTTCATGGCCATAGGTGAGGGTGGGGTGGTAAATGCTCAAGAAATGCTTCACTTCCTTGGAATTTTTGGATTTAGCAGCCATGGTCTGCCAGAATTCCTAAAAAATTACTGAAGCTTTGGATTGCAAATCTCATTTCCTCATCACCTCAATAACCTCATTTACTCAATAACCAGAGCCTTACTTACAATTCTCCATCTGCTCCAGTGGGGACCCTCTTAACTGTATTACCCACTATACATACAGGGTGGTCTGCAATTGTTTCCCCAAAAGTAAAAGCTTATTACTTAGGAAGTATACATCTGATTTCAATGATACATGACTGAAACAAGTCCAATTCAATATATTTTTATTGAAGAAAATTTCAGCATTCCATATTAAAATAGAAGAAAGTAACATCCTTACAAATGAAAGCTGCCAAATCATCAGTGTTCAATATGACTTCCACAATTTCCAATGACTTGGTGCAGTCTCTCTTTGAATGCCAGCAGAATTATTTCAATCATCTCTGGTCCTATTGTGGCGAAGGCATCTCTAATGACCTGTTTCATTTTGTCATAAGTCCACCGATGAATCTCTTCAAGTTCAGAAACCTCTTACGAATTGCCTTCATGGTCTACTCATCAGGAACTGAGGCATTTGGACCCAAACTGAAGAAATTTCCACATTTTCCCAGTAAAAATTTGCTCTCTTCAAATTATCAAACCAATTAAAATATTTGTCTTCTGCAGGTTCTGAGGTCACCCATGACATAGACAATCCCTTGTGATGCATGAAAAACCCATGAATGAATTACGAAACTCAAGGTGGAATTGCGAATTTCAGAAGGGATTGTGATATTTACAGGGTTTAGTTGTACAATATGGGTACTTTCATTTGTTATGGTGTAACTTTGTTATAGTTTCATATGGAATGCTGAAAATTTCCTCAATATAAATATATTGAATTGACTATCGTTTGAGTCATATGTCATTTAAATCACATGTATACTTCCTGAGTAATAAGCTTTTACTTTTGTGGAGACAATTGTGGACCACCCTGTACATGGTATCTTGAGAAGACAATAGCCTGGGTTTTGGGGACACTGAGTTTCATTCTGGCAGCAGTACATTCTGAGCCAAACTGATCCTGCATATTCCAAAGCTCCTGTTGTAATTGGGGCAAAAGGACAGCATAATTGGCAGAGTATCTACCTCAGTGCCACTGATGCTACATCGATGATGCATCGCTCAAGGCCCAGACTTCACATGCAGATATTGTGTGTTCAGTACCAGGAAAACTATGGATTTTTGCATTCATGATTTTCCCAAACAGCAGAATCTGTAGCAGGAGTAATTTTCCACCTGATTTTTTGTTCAAAATGTTATATGGTATTTTGACTTTCATGTGGGTTATAACTCAACTTTTGTCTTTGCTTGCAATTCTCTTTCTTGACCTTTGGTTATTCTTTTAGGAAATTCAAAATAAATTTTCCTCTTGCACTCTGAACAAGAACAGTGGAGGGGAGAAAACATTGCTGCTAGAGCTCAACATGTACTGAGGAAGATTCCTCTGCTCATCCTGCTCACTTTAAGCAATCCCTGCAGTACCTATCAAAATGTCCATAATAACGTGTTCTTATTAGGGCTGTACCGATTCTGAAATTTTGCCAATATGCTGATTTTTGTGCCTTGTTGAGTAGTGTGAGCAGTTTTCACTGTGCAACAGTCAAGATGGCATTAACTTGAAGTGGGTGCATCACATCAATTCTGTAGTTGAGGAAATGAAAGACCATTTCAAAGATTAATTGATTGAAGTGACAAAAAAATCACAGCTACAAGTAGGGTCCAAATCACAAAAATACCCAAATATATATATTCTGATTCCTATTCAAAAAAGTCACTCTCCTACAAGGTTGAGATTTAAATTACTTCCTCAGCATTTTACATGACTATAACAATTTGAAGCAACAAGATCACAAATTTAAAGAGAGTTTCAACTGGAAATGAGGCCAAAGAGTCTTCTCATATAAAATCTCAACTAATACGCAGTGTTGGATGTGTTACTTGTGAAAAGTAACTAGTTACAATTACAAGTATTTCATCCAAAAAGTAATTAGTTACCAGTAGAATTACTTCTCACCAAAAGTAACTAGTTACAAGTAGAAGTTACTTTTCAAGTTACTTTTCCTGAACAAAAACTGATCTTTCTACAGCTTCTCCACTTCTTCGACAGAAGCTGGATGCATGGGAAAGCGAAAGTTACCCCTGATTTCATGAAAATTGAATTATGATCAGCACTTAACTGATAAATACTCATGCTCACTCTTTTCCCTGTGCCTCTTCCCTTTCCATGGGCAACAGGAATTATATACTGATAGACAGAATGCACCCTTTAGTTTAAAAAAGAGCCAATTTAGCCATTGGTGATGGGGAGACCTACCCCAGCCTGCCCCTTATCATGAGTACCAGATAGAAAAATATAACTAACCAAAGTCATGTTCTCTTGTTTTCCCTTAACCAGACATGGACTGCATAAATTCAACTTATACAGTGATTGAAAAGAATTTTCACTGACTAATGGTATTTTTATGGCGCAATCAAGGAGATGAGGATGTTTCAACCATCATATATGTGTAATTGGGTCTGAGGTGCTCATGTTAAAAGTGATACAGATTCACTTGCAAATCACTGTTCATTAAGTTAGGCTCTCCACTTTGAAGTGCAAGTGCTAGGCCTGAGTATTAACGGAGTCTAACTGATGATGGATTGTTGGGAGAGTGCTAAAACGGGTCACTTGAAATATGGAGAGGCAGATAGGGTATACCCGCCCGCTGAGCCTGAAGGGGATCGGACAAAATTGAGGAGAGAGGTGCCAACGATAAACATACGAAAGGTTTCCGTGCAGATGCACTATCAGAACCAAAGCAACGTCTATCATTCCAATCTAACGTTAGACCAAAGGTTGTCTGTATGGAGTCAGGACACGATGGAACCATCTAGACATGCTTTCTCAAGTTAAATGCTGAAGTTCGTGCGACGGAAAGTACCTTGGCCATCAGTAAACATGGAGTAAACATAAACATACAGTAAACATAAACTTCACACAAAAGTTTGCATCGATACGGTGGCGTATTTTGGCTGAAGGGTCGGGGTGGGGGGACAGGGCAATAGAGCCAAACCCCACCCGAGAGATATCGGGAGAGAAAAGTATTACCTCTAAGGCGGGGCTAGGCTGCCTCCCAGAGGCGCCTGGGGGCGGCTATCCCCTGTAAAATACGTTTCTGCATCGATGGAACTCTCGAATTCGTTTCTGACCTGCACATCGAAATATTTTTGCAAGTACGGCCAAGAAACCTGCACTGAATAAACCATGTTTTCTCAAGGCCATTTCATTCTAACCATGTTCTAGAGAAGTTAGAAATCTGAAACTTGGTACACATGTACCTTTTGGGATGCGGAGTTCAGAAAAAATCAGACTTTGGAGGTACATGCCCTCGGGGTACACATTTTGGGGGGGGGGAGAAGTTTTTGAATATATATTTTGTGACGGATTAGGATAGCATCGAGAGGCTTAACTGCATGTCCTGAGTTCGGTGGTGTAGTGGTACCTCAGTACCCTCAGTAGTACCTGTTTGATTGCTGAGTACAGGAAAAATCTTACATTTGAAATATGTCCCTTTAGCGTAGATTATAGCAGGGAAGTATTTCAAAATGTATTCTCCACCCTTACAAAAGGGACACATGAAAAGATTTCAAGTTAGGCACAGTAGAAATAATCGAAGTAATGATTTTGATAAAAATCAAGACTTTCCTTCCCATAGTCACGTATTTCAATGGAGACGTACTTAAAAGACGTGTTTCCTATTTCGCAAAAAATAAATGAATTCATGACTAACCAAGGTTATGGAGCGCCGAAGGCGCGACCATAGCGAGTTTGTTTGCCCGAAGATCAAACTCGCTAGTATATATATATATACATGGGCGTCCGCTGGTTTATTCCCAGGGGGGGCAAGGCACAAGAATGGCAGAGTAGATGCACACACAAGGGTAATTTACCTTTTGTAAAATGATGATAAAGTACAAGGAATTATACCAGGGTAATTCCATCTCAAGTCAGCCAGAGGCTGGAGCATGGCCCCCTCTGATTTTGATGAAAATTTTTAATGTGGTACCCTTCATGACCCAAAGTTAGAATGTAAAATTTTAGTTTTGGGTATGGAACCGTTTTAGCACAATAATTTGTTAAATTTTGTGAAATTAAAAAAGGTGCACCTCTTCACACTCGTGGGCCAAAAACTTTCTGACCAAAACGAACGCAGCGAACACCATTGTTCTTCAAAATTCAGACTTTCGAAGTTATTTCATATATTTTACTTTTCTCCTCAAGGCGACACTGAATAAAATAAAGCTATGTAAAATTTGCCTATTTTTGGTAGATTCAAAAATTTGCAAAATGTCAACATGTTCATCTATGTTTTTGGAATCAGCAGAAGATCTAATGATGTGTATCCCATTTTTGTCCCAACAAATTCCGTTTAAGAAGATGTGATGGCTCGAAATGTTCAAAATCACAAATTTCGCAAAAAAACAGTTTTCAATTGTATGGTGCCATTTTCTATGCAGCTCAACAAAATTGAAAGATTTGCAGAATGTCTGCCATTTACTTGAGCAAAAGATGAGAGCAATTTCAAAGCTCATATACTTTTTTAAAAGCATACCACACGTTTTTACTCAGATCCCACCTCACAATTTCTGCCGTTGTTTTTAAGGCCAAAAACCATACAGTTTTCATTACCAATTCTTCATTTTTTTTCTTCATAACTGCAATCAAAGGAAAAATGTTTCGCCTTAACACGTTGGTGACGGGCCCCGAGAAACTACGGATTTCTCAATGCCCGTCATCAATGTGTTAAAAACAACAACAGAAATTGTGGGCCTCAAAGTAGCCCTTACCTGTAGACCTATTATACAACTCTTATGTCAGACAATGAGACAGCCCAGCAAACAATTTGAAACACATAACGCTGAATCAATGTTTGTAACATTGGTACAACATAGCCTTGTTTGCTGGGAGGGTCTTCGACTCCTTGAAGAGAAACACCAGGCATCTTGGTTATAAAATAATAATAATGTAACTGCAAAAATGTAACCCTATGCTTCTAACTATGCCATAAGGGTGCCTTCTTTAAAGGCTTTGATTTCTTTAAGCAAACTGGACACAAACAAGTACCAAGGTGCAGGCATAGGCTCACTCAACTAGGGCAGGCCTACTGTAGGCCTGGTGTGAACGACCTACAAGGAAGACGTGAAGTAGCCATTCAGCCTGGGATACTTGCATTCCATGTTGTACGATCTTCCCTCTGGACCAGATGGGTTGAGTTGAATTTTTAACTCATTAGGATGTTTCATATTGTGTGGCATGATTGGTTTAAATGGTGCCACGAAAGAAGAGATTTCCACATGAAGTACATTAAATTTCTTTTTTAGTACTACCAGTAAATTGCCATGCCCGATTTCCAGGGGGGGCAAGTGCCCCCCCTTGCCCCTGGGAGCGGACGCCCATGATTGTAAGACATACCCTATGCAACCATGAGCACCTGTCGATGCTTAATGTTTTTTGAGCCTCTAGATTTCATCAGCACTAAGACTTTCCATGTTTCTATCAAGCAATTGCTTGTAGCTCCACAGTGAGCCTTATTCTTTTTGTGCAGGTCTGAGTTAGTTCCATCAGGATCCACCTTGAGTAGATCTTCAAAATGTTCCTTCCACCTCTGAAGTATTTCCATTTCAGTAGCCAGATCCTTCACATATTGATTAGTAATGACCTGAAAAGTATGTTCTTTGCCTTGCCCAAACCTTCAGATGGTTTTCCAGATGACCTTGTTTGTAGCACAGCAATCTGGTTCCATTTGCTTGCTGAATATCTTCCATGCCTCTTGTTTTGTTTTGACTACAGTATCAGCTCTACATCCCTCAGAACTCCCTCAAAGGTCTGACCTGCTGGACATTCAGGGTGATTTTTTTTTCAGCAGACCCTTATAGATTCTTTGAACAAATGAAGTTAGATACATGAAATTTTGCATCGAGAATCCATAAACATTGGAAAATTATACTCCATGAAAAAGAATGCACAATGTGCCATCCTCTGTGTGCAATCGCATGTCATAGACATGTGGTGTAATTCTGCACAATGATCTGCAAATTATCCCAGGAAATGGAGTAGACTTCATGTTCTGTGATATGGATTTGACATAAGACTTTGCCCTTTAGGTATCCCCAGAGGAAATAGTCACATGGGTCAAGATTGGAGGACAATGGTGGCCATGCTAACACAGTGAATGTCCCCCAATCTCAGTGCATGAGACTCTTTCCTCTGGGAATACCTAAAGGACAAAGTCTTCAAGTCAAATCCATGCCCTTTGGGAGACCTGAAGGTGCCCACAGAACGTGAAGTCTACTCCATTTCCTGGGATAATTTGCAGACCGTAGTGCATAATTATGCCATATATCTACAACATGTGATTGCACACAGAGCAGGCGCATTGAACATGTTTTTTCATGGAGAATCATTTTCCCATGTTTGTGGATTCTTGATGCAAATTTACATGTATCTAACTTCATTTGTTCAAAGATTATAAATATCTAAAATAATCTGATGGATAAAAAATCACCCTGTGAATATGTTGTGTTCATTGCCATCTTGGCAGCAACAGCCTGAAGTACCTCTGGTGTCCACCTGGTATTTCTATCTAAAAATGCTACCCTGATACACTTTTCACTACATACTCACTGCTACAGCCAAAGTTTCAAATTGAAATAGATCTCATTTAGTTCTTGTGTTAGAAGTCTGGTGAGGCAATTGAGAATAATTTTTTCCCAGCACCCTGGCCAGTTCGTCATAAGTTTTGTCATAGAGGGCTTTCCTTCTCACCTGTTTCTCGTGTGTGGCTTTCCACCCCATCCTGATGTTCACCTACATTTGAAGCTTGTGAACCACTAAGGTGGTGTTGGGTACACATTTCTGCCCCATGCTTAACATTTATATGCACAATTTCTGGCTCACAATACCAGCTACAAGCATGTGAAGATTTCATAATATTCCCAGAACCAAAAAGTTTTCAATGTATAGCAGATTTGAAAAGAGTGATGTCAAGAATGAGTGTTATACTGCAGAAGCAATGGAACCAGTGCCTGAATAATAAAAAATGATGTTTTCCAGTCAAAGCAATGAAGCCAAGCACTGTTCCAGGGGTTGAAATAAAAAAGAAAACAAAATGAGTTGCATTCAGATTTGATCCCTGTGCAGGGCCTCCGCATTGTGTGGAGGAAGGTGTATGACCAGGTGAGTGCTCTGGATGAGTTGACGATGTGCACAACAAGGCTGCGACTGCGCTTCCCGGGTGAGCCCCTGCCTGAAAAGGTCACCAAAAAGAATCCTCAAGTCAAAGAGTTCTCCTTCATACTCGAACCTCATGAGGTGAGTCTGCTGAGCCCATCTGCAAGTTTTAGTCAATACCTCTTGTGAAATATCTAGCATTAACATGCCATCCAGCATTAGCATCAGTTTATTCAACTAATTTTTGTGGAGTGAAACAATGGATCCAAAAGTGGAAAAAAAAACACCATATCCTATGCAGTGTTTCTGCAGTGAGTGCATAGTGTACCATTTTCCACCTCATGGCATCAATGCCATGATGGTTCTTTGTTGTTGCTGCAGTCACTGGACGTCCAGTACTAGACCTATTATTAATGTCTCTAATGCCTTTTTTATTCTTCTTATTTCATTTCTGGCACTCATGAATTCACTGTTGTAAATGTTTTGCAACTTGGAGTTGTGACATGGACACTTTCCCCCCCTTGAGAAAGGAATTTAATCATATTTCTCTGCATGAACTGAACCTACTTAACTCTCTCAATTTGCATTGCTACTACTCTGCCATCTAAATGGAAGTTCATATAACATCATGAGCCATATTGCTTCCTGCTGTGAATATGCATGGTATCATACTTGTCCCTTGTGTTTTAAATGGCAGTCACAAGGTATTCTATTTAACATGCAACCCATGGAAAGTGTTGCTGAAACTGAAAGAATAAATATAGAAGTCTGAAATTTGAAGGGGCATGTTGTATTTTCACCTGACTCCAACACCTGTGCTTAGGAAGTGCCACAAGCAGGTGTTGGGTTATCTGAAAAAGTTGTACACTTCAGTGAAAGAAACTGTATCTTGCCAGTGTCATCTGTTCTAAAATATTAATATTTGCATGTTTTATTATTTGGTGATTGGTTACTGGTACTTGCTATTCCAAGCCATTCCAATTTCAGCCCACCTCTCGTAGGAAGACTTGATTCAAGTAGAACCCTCTTCTTTTCTTATAGGTCTCCACCTATGTGTACCTTCATATTGTTGCAGGACCTAGGCTGATGACAACCAACCTGTGAATATCCTCATGTTCTATGTTGAAGGTTGAGTTGCATCGGATGAAGTGTGAGTCAGAGAAGGCAGTGGCAACAAATGAGCTTCGTCGTCGTTTTGGGCAGCTTCTGTACCTGCAGAACTTAGAAGGCTCTGATTATGCCCAGAGAGGTGGGAGCAACCCTGAATCTTGTCCTGTCTGTCAGCGGACTCTTGGCACTCAGGTTGGGACATTGCTTTTGCTTGTTTTAAAGCATGTATTGGGCAGAATGCCTAACTAAGTGGATGTTTTCAGGTGTTATTGTCAAACAGGATAAAAACTAATTTCTGGAGTTCATGTCTTGTCACTCATAGGTAGAAAGTTATGTATCTCCTTTTATAGACCAGAGAGAGCTCTGTTGGTTTACAATATTGATATTTACTGGCAGAGTATGTTAACTGTGTAAAGACTAAGTTGTCAGATCTGACTATGAAGCCTAAATGTTCTCACATGTTATATTCCTTTCCATTTATCCACCAACCACATGGGATATTCCTTTGTCTTATCTGGTGGGATGAAAGCTCAAGGATCTTTTTGAGGTAAGCATGAGTTACAAGGCCATTGTGTGCTGGAAGATGTCAACCTTCATGGAAGATTCACTATAACTGGCAAAATAATTTATACTCAGTGTCAGTGAATGAATTTGGTTTTTTTTTAATAATTATTTTGAGAGGAAATGGAAATAATAAGTTTGAGGGCCTGTTATAACCCTGCCTTTTATCATAGGGTTACTTGTGTACTAGCTGTCCTCAGCACTTTGATCCTGGTGAGTGTGACTTAATTGCATACAAGGGTTGTTCAAAAAGTTCTCTGTATAGGTCTAAAAATCAAGAATGAAGAAATTTATCTCAAATTCATTTATTCCACAATCAAGATATATCTATTAGGATTTCATGTAGCAGTGCTTGAACAATGCATTTGGCACCATCAAACCTGGGGCCTTTTTCACAAAACTTCTTTAACTTTATTTATGCTATATTTCGACTTTATCCCGGCTCAAAATAAAGACACCTTTGGAGGTCTCTCTATCTCGACTTTAACCACTCTGAGGGCTATGGAAACTCACCTATGTGTATTCTTAATAACATACCCCAAGCGTTGCATGTGCATTCTTTCTGCCACTTGTGACTTACCGCTCTCCATGTTCACACGACCACGGCTGCAAGGCTTCACCTAATTCGAAAGCAACTTTGTTGGGAAATAGTACTTTGCGACTGATTCCTGGCCACAGGCTCCATCCAATATGGTAGGAATGGAAAGGCCATGACCATTACCGAGCATGGAGTGGATGGAGCCTGTGGCCAGGAATCGAAGTGCCACACATACTATCAGCTGGATTAGTAGTGCTCCACAATGGGCAGTACCCCTTTGTATTTTCACCTGGACCAGGACACAGATATCCAAGAGGAGATTCCATGAGAGTCTGAATCTGCTCCTGAGTCCTTCATCATCGTACTCTTCCAAGGGGTTGTTTCGGTCGTGAAGTACTCTTTCCCGATGAAGCTGCCTTCGAATTAGGTGAAACCTTGGAGCCATGGTCGTGTGAACATGGAGAGCAGTGAGTCACAAGTGGCAGAAAGAATGCACGTGCAACGCTTGGGGCATGTTAATTAAGAATACACACAGATGAGTTTCTGTAGCCCTCAGAGAGGTTAAAGTCAAGATAGAGAGACCTCCAAAGGTTTCTTTATTTTTTCTTTATTTTGAGTCGAGATAAGGTCAAAATATAGCCAAAATAAAGTTAAAGAAAAGTTTAAGAAGTTTCGTGAAAAGGGCCCCTAGCCTTCAATTCCAGGTTGAACACCTGCCTTCATCACTTTACATTGTGATAGCTTACAGGCTTCATTGATGGTTTCTTTGTCTGTCTTTAAGTCAACATCCATGCAGGTTTTCCTTAGCCTTGGAGAAGAGGGAAAAGTTGAATGACCCAGTGTCTTCCAGCCATGATTTTCCATGGCACCCAAGACTGTCTTGTGGTCTTGTGGTGTGGGGCAGCATTGTTCTGCAGAAAGATGACTATTTGCGTGCAATTTTGGTGGCTTGTCTGTAATTGCTCAGTGAACCTTGAACTTCAAGACATCCTGGTAATAATCATTGTTCATAGTTTAGTTTAATGTGTCCCAGGGACAGGGCCTGGGACAGGGCATTCTATACCTGAGTAAATATGGCTTATGAAACTTCACACAAGGAATACTATTAGATATAACTAGTACTCAGTGATATTTGACAGCAATTCATCAAGTGTAACTCATTTTAAAAATCAATACAGAGAACTTTCGGGGATAATCCTTGTCAGGTTATTCCATTGTTCTTCATGAAGATATGATTGACCTTAGAAAGGTGATTTATTGTTTTTGTTTTATTCATTTTGTGGTGCAATGAAATCCATTGTGCACACACTGTAACACAGCCATGATGTAGGGTAAAACACCCAGTGATGGGCCTGTTAATGGCGGGTACTCAGAGATGGGCCACGTCGCAGGAAAATTCCAAAAATAGGCATTTGTTCCATGAACACCTCTGAAGTGTGTATGTACTTCAATGCTGCTAGCCTATGTAAGAACAGGGGTAGGCATGCTATGGAAGCTTAGCTGTTGGAATTTTTATGTGCTGTGGCCCATCACTGGGTCTTTTACCCTACCTGTTCTACATAATGGAAGTGATACATTGGTGTATGAGTTTTACCTGCAAATTTTGTCCTGCTGAACTGACAAGGCCTGCAAATGTCAATATGAGTGTTTTATATTACTTGCATTCTTAGTAGGAAAGAGCTTTGTTAACATATGAGTCTTTGTTGTTTCATTTTTTTCTTATTTTGTTTCCCATTGCAGTGGTCAGTGTTGCCCTGTGGGCACTGCTTTTGTGTGGAGTGTATCCGTGTCCTGGTGACAGAGTATAGCTGTGGTCCACACCGCAGCTCCATCCGCTGCCCTGTCTGCCGGGAGTTAACAGGTCATTATGAAATCTCCTATGTGACAACAGAGGGTGAGGATGAGGGGCAAGAGGAAAATGCAGAGCCTCCTGTCTCTATTGTGGGAAATCATTCCACCAAGGTCACAGCTGTGGTGAAGGTCCTCCGCAAGATCATCCGTGCTGACCCCACTGCCAAGGCACTTGTTTTCTCAACAGTATGGTGCTTCTATTCAATTAATTGGTTACTAGATGGCTGAAGTTTCAAGAATAATGCTCAATGTGAAAAATTCTCTCAATGCATAAGAGAAGAAGGGATGGAAGCTCTTCCTTCAAAAGTGGCTTAATGCCTACTGCAAGATTTGGCTCAGATGCATTTTTCCTTCCATAACCCTTTCCTCTGCCCATTTTTCCCACTGTCTTGACTGAACCAGCCTTATTATTTTCTCACTTTCGAGCAAAAATCACTTCATGTCTGTATATGTGACATACCCAGGTATGTCAATAAGTTCTGGGTCTCACCTACAAAAACCAAGCACTCACAGATTTTATTTTTTTATATCAATCTTCAATGCAATGACCATCATTCCCAATAATGATACACTCCCAATGATCATTTAACATTCTAATACTGGAATCATAAAAAAGAAAATGTTGTAGGAAGCTATATTATGGAGCATAATGAGGTGAGAACCAGCAATGAACTTGCCTAAGCATGGACTCTTGCTTCGGGAATGATGCTGAAAGTTTGAATACATTAATAGTCCCTCTCCTTGTCCTCATTATGCATATGCTAGACTATGGACAGTTGCTGCTGTGGTTATATCATGTCTGCCCCCCAATGTTGTATCTTCCTCTCTTGATTTCTGATCCCTTTTCCTCCCATCTGGCCCAAATCCACCTTTACCTATAGTCAATTTTCTTTGCATCAGAGGTGGAAAACGTTCTTCTGCTTCCTGATAACCATGGTTTACCTTCTCAGTATAGCATGTGTGTGAAGTGACCCTGTGTTTGAGGGGCTGTGAAGAGGCAAATGGGGGGGGGGGGGGGTTACTTGGATAGAAATAAATTTTAAGTCACCACTTGTGATTTAACAAAAATGCCTGTGTAGGTCCCAAGCAGGATCTAATGGGGAGTGCATAGAGGGGCATAGTCATTCAGAAGCTTTTGACATTTAATAAAAGTGAAGAAATGTCATTTGAAAGGGTCTTTAAAGGTTTTCCTACAGAGGAGCATTTTGATCAATATTTTCATTTCTGAACTGGAATATTGATTTGATTGAATTCATACTTCAAGCCTCCCCTTCTACCTATTCAGTCAGTCAACAACCTCTGAAACAGCATGTAACTTCAACTTATAAAAATTCAATTGTTCTGAAAATCTTTCACTCACAAGCAATCTTAATATGGTTCACATGGCCAAAAAGGTTCCTGACTCCTGGTTTAAGGGTTCAGTTAGACCACTTTGCCACTAGACACTGACAGATATTCTCTCAGTGATAGGATGCATACAAGTTGACGGCATACGAATTGTTATGTACCAGGAGGTCTGGCATGGGACCACGAGCGTGATGTGCGGAATCGAGAGAGTGGGATGAAGTTGGAGGGTGCTCCAATGGGGGATGGAGATCAATGTATTCTCTAAATCCTGAGGCCAAATAAGGTTGCTTGAAAAAAAAAAAGGCACAAAGGGTACTAGTATTAATATTATTATTAATCTGTCCAAGGAAAGCCAGATGATGCAAGGCTGATTGTTGACTGATTGAAAGAGAAGGAATTTTCAAGGCAAGTTGCAGTCTAATTTGGTGATCAACTCTCACCTCATGAAATATGCATTCGAAATTATCATCCCTGTTTCATGCTGATGACAAGGCCACCTCAATTTTACAGTCAGGCAAATATGATCATTGTCTCCACTTCTCTCCTTCTATCCTCCTCATCTGGGTGAGATCCTACAACCCCAGGATTGAGGAAATATGCAATACCAAGGTCTTTCCACCTACACACTCAGTGCGGGAGTAAAAAAATGTATATCCACAACCCTGAACTTACCAATAGGGTGAGTGCTGTGAATGCTGGCACTCATAAGAAATGTTTCACTTCCACCTTGCCTGGTGGTTTTTGCAATGGAGCTTCCTCATTCATGTTGGGTTGGGTGATACCTTTATTATTAACCTCCTTGTACCGCAAACCTCATGTGCCCCAGGCCTTTCTTTTCCGAGGACCTGGGTCAAAGGTGAAGTTTGGTCAGAACTTGACAATCTCTGTACACCTATGTATCACTGTCATTTACAACGGACTCAAAAAATGAATGCAATGACCTAATAAAACAATACCTAATGTGGAAGAGAAGAATGGATTGTGCAAAAACTTAGCAAAATCACAAGATATCACAGGATTTTTGGAGTGCACTTAGAGAAGGTAGCCACTGCAAAAAACTATAATAGCAAATATAGCTGTTCCAAGCACTTGTTAACAACATTAGTCCTACCACCTGAAAATACTTGTCTACCTGTGCCTAGGGGACTGGTAGTGGAAGCAGAGTTTTGATGATAGGGTAAGTGCTGTGAATGTTGGTACTGGGGGCAATCTCAGCACTTTACTATCAGTCACATGGGGATATCTTTCCAAAACCGCTCAGGTGCTTGATCTTCCCATTCCCCTGATATCATCTTCCCTATGCCTCTTGGGGGCTTGATCTATTTGCAGTCAGTTGACATATACCTTCTTTCAATCCATTACCATACCACATCCCAAACACTCCGACTGACTCTTGCCTTCCCATTCTTCTTTTTGCATCATTTCCTTTTTTCCCCTTTGCCTTTCTCTCTGTTATTTATTTATTCTTCCTGCCTTGCCTTCCTGATCAGTCTCTACTCTTCCTGGTAACCTGATTACCAGGTTACAGAACTTTTTCCACCTCTGCTTTGCATATAATCCATGCTTCTCATTTCATCCAGTCACTTTAAGCATTATCATCCTTGTCTTCTTTGCAGTTGCTCTCTTTCAAAGTTTGCAGTATGTTGCAAGATTTATGGTAAAATATTGATGTTACAATTGAACTTGGTATCAATGCTTACATCATGTAGTGGGGAAGTGTGCTGGATGCAATTGCGGATGCCCTGGAGGAAAACCACATCACCTTCAGGAGCCTAAGCCAAAATGCAAGGTTTCAAGAGAAGATCTCCTCATTTCGAGGGAGCAGAGATATCAATGTCCTCCTCCTCCCTGTCCACTCTGGTGCCAATGGCTTAAACCTCATTGAGGCCACTCATGTCCTTATCACAGAGCCCATCCTCAACTCAGCTGAGGAACTCCAGGCCATTGGTCGGGTTCATCGCATTGGACAAGACAAGTATGTGCTGCTCAAAACTTTTCAGAATCAATTGATGGCTGCAAAAATAGTTTAGTTCACTGTAGTACATTCATAAAATGTCAGTATTGGATTTCTAACAGTGTTGGAATTCTTCTTGGGCTTGGTATTTTGATAATCCAATTTAAAAAAGGCCTGACCTTGGGGGGAAATTATTTCTTTTTTTTCCTTTTATCCCCCTTGCAGACAAAAATGGGTTTTGTGACATAGGTAAAATTGGATTGACTGCTTTTCATTCCATATAATCACTTGAAAAAGGTCCTTTTTCTTCTCCAGCCAGACATTGGAAAGAAAAGAGGGGGCAGATAAAATTGCATGAGAAACTAGTGGTATAAATGCATTCACTGCCTGACATTTTAAGTGGGATTGTTGCAAGATTGCCAGCGTTTTTCCAAGTCTTTGAAAATGTGTGCAATGTTCAAGAAGAAAAAATTGCAGGAACAAACCTAATAGAGCTAAACATCTGAAATGTTCAATAATCATTTGGAAAACTTTAAAGGTGTGATATTGGTTGTAAAAGTCATTTGGATGCAATGGCATTCCACTCAGAATGCACAAATATCAGGTTTCACTTGTTAAAGTGCATTCATGCTCAGCAGCACCTTTTTGGCATTTTGTCCTTTTCTTTGGATAGAATTCACCTGCATCATCTTCTACTTCCTCACCCTGAACAGACGAGGAATCTGTGTCATGTTCAAAATCAATGTCAGCATCTATATCTATATACAAGATGTTCATATTTAAGCACAACATAGGGAATCTTTTGCCACCTGTAGGTGGAGTTCAGCAAATGCTATACAGCCCAACGTGTTGCATATTTGCAAGGAAATGCATCAGGGATGGATTTCATCCTTCCAGATGTGCAACCTGTTGAGCTATAAGACACCCTCTGACCTCCACAAACAGGTGGCAAAATGTTCCCTACGATGCATTTAAATACAAACACCCTGTATGTACAGTATATAGATGATTGAAATTGAGTGACTGACACTAATTCTAACCATGTTCTGGAGATCTAGAAATCTGAAACTTGGTACACAAGTATATATTGGAATGCAGAGTTTGGAAAAAATCCGACTTTGGAGGTACATGCCCTGGGGGCATGGCATCCCTTTTAGGGGGGAATGTTTTAAAATATCAAAACAGAGTCAAACAGAGAGACATGGAAAGCTGAAACTTGGCATGAATACTGCTGACACACTGAGTTGAGGAAAAATATCAATTTTCCAATGCATCCCCTAGGGGCACATTTTTGGGGGGTGATGTTTTTAATAAATTTATTTTTGCCCACAGAGGTGAAACTTGACACACACACACACACATAACTGACATGATGTTGGCTTCAAGAAAAAGTCAAATTTTGTGGTGCATCCCCCTCATGGCACACCTTTTGGGGGGGTTGTCTTCCCTAAGATATGTTTGCACCAGCAAAAAGGGCAAAAGTATAAGACTAATACTTTGTGGATCCAGAGTTCTCTGAGTACCTATTTATGTAAAAATAATATTTTTTAGGTAAATCCTCTTAGGGCACATATTTTGTGAGAGGCATGTTTTTCAGGATCTTTTTCAATCCAGCACAACAGAGATCAATTGATAGTTGAAACTTGGCTCAGAAGTACTTGTTCAATTGCTGAGTGCAGGAAAAATCTACTTTGAAGTACAGTATATCTCCTCAAGGCAAATTATGGGAGGGAAGTATTCCAAAATGTATTTTCCCCTCTGATGAAAAGGGGCGCATGAAAAAATCTGAAGTTAGGCACACAAAAAAATCATCAGAGTAATGATTTCAATAAAAATCTTGGCGATGTCCCCTCATGGCACATATTTTGAGAAGGGCATACATTCCTTTTTGCAACTTCAAAAATGAAACAAAGAATTCTGGATTCACCATTCTGGATAATTGAGTGCCAAAGGCACAACCAGAGCAAGTTTGTTTGCCAGTAGTTGACTCTGGGAGTGAATGTGTTAACTGCAGCCCCTCCATGGCCTATACCTGGTATTGCCAGTAATTCTAATACCAAATATCCAGTATTCAATGTAGTAAATTTACATTTCTAGGTTAAGGGTTTATTTTTCCTCAAGCTCTATTGAAAAGTGGCTTCTAGAGATGCAAGAAAAAGTCAAGATGGAATTACATTTGGTTAGGCCTAGTCTTTCATATCATTTACAGTCTGCTCTCATGCCTGGACAATAATCAAATGCTCTCCTAGATACAAACAAGATAAATAACTTAGCTGAAGCCTCTTAGAGCCATGGGCAGAGATTGAAAATATCATTTGGAGGCCAACATGAAGACTACAGCCATTAGGGACTGTTCCTTTCCCTGATTCTGTTTTTGTCCTACCTTCTTAGTAGGTTATTCCTTAGAAAATTATATTGAATTTCTGAGAAAATTTACAGGGACTTAGCCCTGCAAATTGCTTTTACGAAGAACTAGAGATGCAAATTTAAATTTTGGTTGATATCTGATATACCATTAGTCCAATATTGAAAAAAATTTGTACCAATACCAACATTTATTTCTACACATTCAAGCGTAAGAATTAATTGTTATGAAGACATTTATTAACTAATAATTTGTATCCTGAGAACCTTCATGATCATTGCAGTTTTAGATTATTGGGAATATAGGAAATGACAAAAAGCAAGAGATCCACCAAGTTCCAATAGGGATAAAGTGGGAAAAAAGCAGGGACTAGCAATTCTTCTGTAAGATTCATCACAGAAAATAGAATCAACCCTCCAATAAGAAAATGCTATTGAGGAACAGTGAAGGTCCATGAGTATGGCAGAGGGGATAAGTAGATAACCCTTCACAGATACACTGGGAGCAGCAAGTGGAGACACTAACTGCCTATAAGAAGGGATGGGACTTCACTTAGAAGCCATCTTCCTGCTCCCAGTCTTAAGGGGAAAAAACTTTTATTTTGTATAATACCTTGTTGCTTGATAAAAGCATGCATTCAGGCCTGTCTGTCCTATGTGAATGGGGCACTCAAAAAGTTTCTGGATGTGACTTCATGGAAATGATCACACATGAAAGCTTTTCTGCACTTTCAGCTCCATTTGATATGAGTCTGCATGCAAATTTTCAAATATTTATACCTCGTTGGGCATTTTTTTAAATGCTCTTTTATACCTGCATATCTGCAAGCATTTTTCCCTCATTGTTTTTGGAGTATGCATTCCATGCTCTCATTTTTTACAAAAGGTAGAAGCAAAAAATTGCACTCTGGAGTTCTCCTGTATGGGCAATTGATAGAATTCCTTTGCATAATTAGGAAAGTAAGTGGGTATCTCTGTCAAGTTTTCAGCAATCTTGACAAAGTTCTTGAAGTCTAACTTAACAAGAGCTGACTCTCCTGACTGTTCATTACGTTCATTTTATTTACCTGTATTTCATATTAGTACTGGTGCTGCTACTTCATGTGCCATAATTTGTTAATTTGCATGTTTCTTTTCCCTGTTTTTATGCTTATTATTGTTTGAATTTTTTAGCTTGTTAGTTTTCCATACAGTATGCTTGCAGGCCAAACTTCTAAATATTTTCATATATTGTAAAATCCATATATACTGTATATATTTTCACTTTTCTATTTGCTCTTGAATAGAATGCTCTTAAGTAATCCCCTTTAAGGTATTATTTTTTCCTCTAGATACTTGCTAAGGTAGCATCCTAATTTTACACCACTGCCTCTGGTCTTCTCCATTCTTTATTTTTCAGTCAGTCTGGAAGCATGAAGGGAGTGAAATCACCATTGTTTTCTTATGTAGGTCAACGGTGGTGCATCGTTTCATGGTGAGGGGGACGGTGGAGGAGCGCCTGTATGAGGTGCTCCGCACCCATCGTACCACGACAGTGGAGACCGAGGAGTCTGGACATGCTAAAGGGAATTCCCTTTCCATAAAGAGCCTCAAGGCCCTCTTTGGCTCTGACTAGCTGAAAACCTTCTCAAGAAGGTCAGATTCATCAATGAATCTCATGTCTTTGAGGGAATTGTTCTTTCCTCCCCTTCATTTCTTTTTGTTTGGTGATTTTTTTCTTCATTCATAGTTCTTTTTTACCTCAGTATGAACTCTGATCTCATTTGTGAACTCATTTTCATTTTCAAACTGTGGGAATTCTCCCTGGATTGCAGGAAGATATAATTTAAGTTGGTGATTTTTTAAATGGCATTTATAGGAGTATCTTTTTAAAATTAATTTATCCTTCCTCATTTAAAAATCCATTAAATGGTGGTCTGGGTGACTTTCCATTAATTTACCCTTCCAGTTTTCCCATGAAGTTTTCTATGTTTTTGGAGTGATTCTTTGTTGAGAAGTACCATTTGCCTGAAATCATGGATGTGACTTCCATTATGACATTTTTCAAGATTGCAAAGAAGTGTTTGAAGTGGTTGTAGCTTACTCTCCAATGTTTTTATTCAGACACTTGATTTTGAAGACACTCTTTAATTGTGGCTGGTGAGATTTCCCCATGCACATCTGAGCTTGTGTCAGATGTGAAAATGTAATTTTTAATGAGAAAGTGAACAGGGGAGTCATGTATCTAATTATGGGTCCCAATTTCCAGTTAAATCACTAACTGGTAACTGTCACAAGCTTCCCCAACACCAAGGCTATACTGAAATTCAGGAAAGCTCACATTGAGGTGGGATGTTCTCACTGAAAGGTGACTTCCAGGAAGGGACTGAAGTAATTCCTTCCCCTGATGTTACCATACTACATTTCCTGCCTCCACTAAGCCTGGCCTGTCACTGGAATGGAAGCAAAGAAGGTATGGGGAAAAGGCATGATGATGCGGGATTCCTGCATAATTACTATGGACAGGAATGAAAATATTTCAGGAGTGTTGGATCAGCCATAGCTTTTTATCGATTAGAAGTTAAAATGCCAATTGGAAAAAATAAGAGACCCAGGAGAAGAACAGAATGGTTGTAAACATTAATCCATCATTGCATAGAGTACAGAGAATGGTGGGATTCTTGCATGTCATCACCTTCATTCAGGAGGAGCTCATTTCCTCTGGAATCAATTATTGATTCTAATTTTTCTCATATCAATTAGATTATTTGAGACAGCTTGGCAATCTCATAAACATTAAAACAAGCAATGCTCAGTTTTGCAAAGGAAATCTCCAACAGTTAAGGAGCTCTTGGTGAGGGACTTGGGTGATTTGGGGATGACAGCTGAAAGACCAGAAATAGACAAAGTTTGCAGCAGGAATCCAAAATTCTGAAGATTTTCCTCCTTGTATGGGAGATACAAACGAAAAAGTAAGGGCAGCTTTAATTACTTTTTTTTTCCTCCCCCATTCAAGACCGGGTCGGGGGTTATACCATAGCGGATAATCGAAACTGACTTTTAAGTAAATGGTTAGAAAAGCTTGGTTGGTCCTGATAAACATTGGGACCCTTGTCAGAAACGATGCACAGTGTTGTCATTAGTTTACAAAGTAGTCCTGAACTGCTTTTCAAATGAGTTTGATATGTGCCATGAAATTGGTTGTTTTAATATAAAGTTCTTTTTTTTTTGCTGTATTTTATGGAATAACTGTTTCTTTAAAAAACATTGAAGTCAAATGTGAAGACATTCGATTATTCTCAATGTATCAGAGGAATCGCTCTCCTTTCTGACTCTTGAGCGTCCTCTACGTTTGAGAATAGTGATGCTCAACTTGATGGATGATGATTAAGGAATAAACCTCTTTTGAGAAAGTGCATATAGTCCTGTAGAAAATCAATTCACTTTTCCCAAAGGTAAAGGGAGAGAGAATAACATAAAAATTGAAGTAAAAAGAAAATATTTTACTGACTCATCAGTGAATGGGTGAATGGCAAGTTGTTTTTTATTTTGATTGACTAAAAATTTGCCCCATTGTTAGGATTTGAAAAATTACCTAACTTTCGGTGATTTTAGAACTTAGACGGCGTAAGAAACAAACCCTGAGAGGATACGTTCAGATTTATCTTTCGTGCATTTTGAACTTTGTATCAGGTCATTCGAAACGAGTTTTAACAGGTTGTACCAGCTTTTTTTCTAATAGCTCCAAAGATAATTTGGATTCTGGATATTTTTTCCCCTGGAAACTCCTGAATTTTGAATGCTCACGTTCCTTTAGACGTTATTTTCACTCTGGTTCGATTTTTATCCTGAGTCCGAGAAACTGATGCGCCAATTCATCCTGCCCTGTTCTACCCTGGGTGCAGGGCCGACCCTAGCCATTTCGGTGCCATGTGCAAAGAAACTCCCAACCCCCCCCATCAGAATAAATAAGAGTCTACACGTTGCGTTCAAAAAGACGTCGAAACGGAAGGCATTTCCACTTTCTGGAGTAAAACTGAGGGTAGCATCCATTCTGGCACGTTTTGGTGCCCCTGATGAATTTGCGACCTGTGCGGGGGCACATGTTACACATGCCTACCCATACAGCACAGTGATATCCCAGGGATGTCCCTAACTGGACGAATCGTCCTTGGTCTTCATAGGATCTCCTGAAGACATCTTTCGGACGGTTTCGGACATCTCGTAAGGGATGTCTTCAGGACGTCTTTTAGGGTGGATTTTTGAACAGAGTACTATCCGATAATGCTGCTTTATTTACCGGATTTATAATGCATTTCCTCAGAAATAAAGCTGCATTATCGGATAGTTCTCTGTTCAAAAATCCACCCCTAGACTTCTTCAGTCGAACGCTTTTCGATATCTTGAGGATGTCTTAGGGATGTCTTTAGGCATCTTCAGTGCTCTCTGTCGCCTTCAGTCAGGTGCATAGCTTCGACGGTAGATGTCTCCCGTGGGCCCTGATCTTCAACCTCAGATCTTTTCGATCAAATTCATCTACTTGATTTGTCCTGAGGATGATTAAGGATTTTCGTACCGTACCTCAGGGAAAGTGAAAAAATTGCGGTCTGAATTTTAATTTATTCCGCTATATTCTACTTAATGATGAGTGATCCGGATACAACTATCTTGGTTAGAGGCCTGAGCCCATACTTTTCTAAAGGCGTAAAGCTTAATCAAAACCGTCCATGATCCCTCGTGTAGAGGTACTAAATTTTGTCCTTTGGAGGTGTGTCTCCTATGATGGGACCCCCTTTAGGAACAGGATTTTCCTCCCCCATAATCGTCACTCTGCAATCAGTCAAGTACTTAAAATTAGGTGTTCCTACATCAAATAGAGACATCTTCGAAAGTAATGGGTTCTCCTGTGCAGTAGGAAATGAGACAATTGCGGATAGGAAGGGGCCTGTAAGTACCACCTGGGACTTCTCACCTGTCCCTAGGCGATATCTCTCGGACATCCTTCGGATATACTTGTACTGCAAGAAAGAGACATCTCTGGGATGTGCTAGTTCTTCAAGAAAGGGACATCCTTGGGATGTCATTGGGCCCAGACATTTTGATATCCCAAAGGTGTCCCTACTCCTTGTCTCTGGGACATCGCACTTGTCCCAAGGGGATATCTTTGGGATATACCTGTGCTGTGTGGGTAAGGCCGGCCTTGCCTGGGTGGTATGACAGGAAACATGAAACAGGAAGTTTAAAAAAGCCCTTCATCCAGACCTACAGCTCTCCGATATGACTAAAGAATGGAGAAACTCCGGAACCGCTGGTTTACTCACTTCTGGGCCGAAATGCAGTACCCATCCCTGGAGTTAGAATCACCCCAATATAATCAGGCCAGCCAATATCTTGGCTTAGATGCGCACTATGGGGCACCACGTGATCCGACTACCTCTTCACTTACAAAAATTCAGAAAGGTAGGAGAGTGTCTGGCGCAGATAAAGTACTTCGCGAGTCCTGTGCACCACAGAAAAGAAACCTTCCACTTGCAATCTACGTATTTTATTAAAACGAAAAGATGCTTTTGTTTAACTCTTTCCATGGCAAATTAAGGAATCGCAAGATAAAAATTACATTCACATTTTCAAAGCCACGAGATGCTGATGGCACTTTAACTGGTCACCTGTTTGTAAAATTAAAATATATTTGTAAATTAAGACATTGCCAAGCACACAACTTTTTATGCCGAATGAAAAGAAGTAGTCATTCCTTTCGGAATCGTATGGGAGAGCTAGAGTTAAACCTGAAAATGTTGCCCTAAATGTTCCCCAAATGTCAGTGGCGTGCGGTTAGGGCATGCAGGTCATGCTCTGCGTAACCTGTTTGGACGAGAAAACCTGGCGCTTACCAATGATCATAACTGTACACCACAATATGTATTGATTTGATTTTGCTTCCATTTTCATCCGATTCATGTCATTTAAATCATGCGCTCGACTACAGTTGCAGCGATTCACTGTAGCATATAATTAAATGGTACTCGATACGAGACTAGTCATGCACCTCGCTGTCCAGCTTTTATTGTCCTGCACTTGGGGCAAGACGTGGGAGCTCAACTGGTGAGACGCTCAGTTAATGGAGTCATGCTGACTTCCAGCAGCATGCCAAGCTCCGCATGCATGGATTCATCAGATTGCAATGGGCTCGGCGCGTGAAGCAAGTTCTGGTACGGCACTGACTAAGCCTACCTTGCTCTATTTATTGAGTGTTTCCCTTCTTTTGTGTGTGACTAACTTTTATCAGATGTGTGACGGAACGGTTTGCATTGTTGAAGATTTACTGAGGCTTTCGTTCGCCAGGGAGACTTTCAGGATAAATTGGACACTGTGGAACGTAGACGGCCAACCCTTCCCATGGCGTCTTCGAAGAAAGAAGGCTAGGGCTTCATCCGGCACTTTCAAGTCACCAATTACGAAAAAAAACTAAGTGGATTTAAAAAAGAGTTTAAAAACTAAACCGAAAAAAATTTCTGGCCCTGCATCTTGTTCGCACGTGAAAAATCTGCATGGAATTCAGGAGGCTTTTGTGACTTAAATAATTTACATAAAAGTCTGCAAAAGCATGAGCGCTTACAAACATATTAGGTGCTGGTTGAGCATCAAGACATTCAGCAATACCTGTATATACTTGCAACTGAACGAACAAAGGCGCTTAAGCATTCAACAACACAATGATAATGTGAGAAGAAACGGATAGGTGCTGCAGCGGCTGATTGACATTGTTACTAGGGAAATCCAGAACTGGCCTTTCGGGGGCACGCAGAAGCCTCAAGCTCGTTGCATAGAGGAAATCACGTAGAGATCGCGCATCTGCTTGACAAGTACGACGAGCGATTGG